CAACTAAAATATTACGCATATCATTCATCAAATAATAAGGCGTGCAACGCTCATACTTACTACTAGTATATTAAAAATTTGATTGTATTATAATTTCTCTCTCTCTCTCTCTCATTATATGTTCTCTAAGTCCTTCCCAATTTAGCTTTTCCTGAAATATTTCGAAGAAAATATGGTTTCCTTCATTTTTGTAGCAATTACACTCTTCTCACTTGTGGGCACTTCTGTTAGGGATTTTCTGTAGAATTAGTTAGAGAATTAGATTCTTTATTCATGCTGTAAATACTATAAATATGCAGCTTTGTGTATGGTAAAATGCCAAGCAGATATTTCAATATGAAGAATTTTTCCTCTGCAATATTTTCCTCTTTATTTCCTCAATTCTTGTTTTATTAAATTTGATAAGAGAAGTCAGCTTCCTCCTCTTCCTCTTCGTCCCCGACATCATCCACTATAAACCCATCTTTCTCGTATTCATCCTGCCCTTCTTCTGCTCAGAAACACCACATCACAAATAAAAAATCCCAATTGAAAACCTTGAATTATTAACAACACCAAACCATTTCAGATAGAAATCTTCAATAATTGCGCGATGATCTTCCGATTCACAAGGCTGTTCGAACTAAAAAAAAGAACAAATATCAAACACGAGAAATGATATCACCAAAACAATATGGAACCTTACTCGATGGAGATCGTTTTGCCATTCCACGGCGCCACTGAGAACAAGTGACAGTGAAAGAGTGGAAGTCAAAAAGCTTTGAGAGGAAGAATGAATTGATAGATATTTTTACGGTAGAAGATATGTATTGAAGATATTTCATCCATTTAATTATTATTATATTATACACTCAATTTTAACACTACAGACACAAAATGAAAAAAAAAAAAAAAAAAAACCTATTAGCAAACCAGTTCAAAAGAGGTCAAGTGTAAAAACTAATGTGACAAAAATGAATAGTGAATCAAGGATTCACTCTTTTAAAAGAAGAAGGGATATAACTTCAACTAAAACATTACGCATATCATTCATCAAATAATAAGGCGTGCAACGCTCGTACTTACTACTAGTATATTAAAAATTTGATTATATTATAATTTCTATCTCTACTCTCTCTCTTTCTCTCTCTACCATTTCTTTTTTCTACAACTCAATTCTCGTTGACGATCGCATCAATGAACAATTATATTATAATTTCTATCTCTACTCTCTACCATTTCTTTTTCTATAACTCAAACCTCGTCGACGATCGCATCAATGAACAACTAGGCTTACCTTCGATTGTCGCCAACAAGTCCATTTTGTGCACTGAAACTCCGTGTCTCTAAGTCAACAGATAGCTACAAATCTAGAGGTTGGTAGTGGTGGCATCATAGTTGGCAGTGGTCAGTCGATTGGTAGATTTGAAAGGGAGGTTATGGTGATGTTGTGTATTCAAGGTACAGATGATGGTGTTGGTGGGTTGGAGGTGGAAGTGGAAGTGGTGGTTGATTTGAGGTGGAGGCAGTGATTGTGGATTCGAGGTGCAAGTGGTGATGATGGTGAATTTGAGTTGTAGGAGGTGGTGGGTTCGAGGTGAAAGTGATAGTAGTAGTTGTGAATTTGAGGTGGTGATGGTAGTGGTGGTGGATTGTGGATTTAAGGTGGTGATCGCAGTGGGGTAGAGTGGAGTGGAGTGGAGTAGAGTGGGATAGGATGATATAAGGTGATATGAAAAGTAATTGTGACTAATTAATTGAGTAATTTTTGACAAGCAAATAAAGATGAGATATTGAAATATGTACTTTTTCGATTAAAAATATAATTGTGTCCTATAACTATGACTTTCTGCGATTTGTGATTAATGCATGACTGTGACCGTGATCATAAATTGTGTGTTTATTGAGACTCTGACGGGCCTGTTTGATTAAATATTAGAGGTGACATTAGAGGTGACAGAATGTGATCACCTAATTTTTGAAAATTTTCATCAAGTTTCTTATATATAAAAGTATATCTTGAAAGCATGGTAGTTATGCATTTTTTTTCCAACTATATTCCAACGGATCAGCTCACTTTTGACATGGGCCAAACCAAGTGGACCACTTTTTTCTATTTTCTCTGTTGACCATTCAGATCTCTTGATGGGCCATATGCATGGATTGTGTTGCATAGTCCAGATCGACAGGGCATAATGTATTATGCCCCTGTTTGGTGCACATTTTAGGGCCAAAATGCATTTTTTTTTTTTGATGTGACGGGAAATATGTGGTTGAAAAAGAAGGAAAAGTTATTGATGTAATGAAATATATTATTTTATTGAAAAACGTGTGATTGAAAATAAGCAGAAGAATGAAAATGAAAAAAAAAAAATGTGGCTCAAACATGGGCTATAGCTAATTTTGGTAGTGTTAACATCGCTGATATCAGTTTTAAGTGGTACTAAATGTTAATGAATAAAATATATAATTTAATGAATCACATAATTTCACATTGAATTGAATCTCTCATATAATGTTATATAGATTGGTGTTCTAATATCGCTGGTACTAAATAAAATTATTCTTTTCAATTTCATTTAGACTTCACTTCTATTAATCTCGGGAAAGTCTTACATTTTTCAAGTAACAAGCACTCATCTAAGAATATTTGTAACTTACTACTATTGATCTATGCCAGACCTCTCCTGAAGTGTAACACTAATTATTGTTGATACTAAGCCACCAAAAGTGACTTTAAAAATGAAAATAAAAAACTAATATACAAATTGCATGTAGATAGCATACAACGACTATCTTTAAGCCCATGTTTGACAATTATTATTTGGGTAAAATGAAATTTTGAATGGTGATTTTTTGAAGAATGTGTGAGTAAAAAAAGAAGGAAAATTTTGGGTTTACACGTAGAATATTTTATTGTGTAAATGTATAATTAAAAATGAGCATATAGAAAAAAAGAGTTTTGAAATAATATTTGTCAAGTAGGGACTAAATTTTCATTTTCTTTTTTCATGTTGCTTAAGCATAGTGGAGTTTTTACTGTTTAAATAAATTATATTATCACTTTACATTACAATAATTTTTTTTTTTTTTTTATAGTTTGTGACCATCATGAAGCACAAATTATAGCATTCTTTACAATTAAAAAGGACAAGGGGTACATTTTTGGTACGCAATTATTAATTAATTTTTATGGCACGGAATTACAAAGCCAAATTAAGCAAAAATGTATTAATCATTTAGTCAATATTAATAAACAATTTCTACTCATTAGTCAAAATTCATTTTTCTTGTTGCCAACCCAGTCAAAGGATGCTACATTAAACTCTCCTTTTTTTTTTTCCAAAATCATAATTAATTTTGTAAGAAAAAAAGATGCAATTTTTCAAAAGTCAAGGCCAATTTCCTCCACCATCCCACTCATGATATACTAATGATCCGAATTTTTATATTGCATTATTGTAATAATATAATATACTAAAATATAATTTCACATATCAAGTTTTACAACAGAATTCTTATTAACGAAAATTTAATTTGTTCGTCAAAGCTCAATCGACCATCTTACTGATCTTCTATCAGCAAACGAATCGTCACCTATTTTACAAGTTTTCCATTAAAAATTCGAATCAATTACATATTCAATATTGATGAGAATTTGTATAGCGTGTATCAACCTCTTGTGCCATGAAACTTCTTGCTGGGTACCTTTATTGTAATCAAAATAAAGAAATTCTGAATTTATAATTGAAAACTCAATAATGAAGGAATAAAGTGGTTGAGGGGTGGCTACAAGAGTCGTATGCAGTTTGCAAAGTTAGATTATTTCGAGTCAAGTTAGGCGGCCATTTGTTGCTGCGTTTTCTTCACTACACGACATTCTCCCTTTAACTATCACCGCCAAACTAGGTTCTTGGATGCTAGCAATACCTTATGTGATAATTTGTATTTTCAAATTTTAATAGATATTTAAAGAAAATCCGGGTTCGAACTATTGAGAATTTGACTTGATTGATATTCATCATGTAACGAAGAATATTCTTACAACAATTTGTCGAACTATTAAGGGTTTCTGCTTCTTGTTCCTGTAGAAGAGTTTGATGATGAAACTGTTTTGTCACTTCTCTCTAAAAACACTCTAACTAGATAAAGTACTTTCAGAAAATTATTCAAATATGTTCAAAAACTGCTTCTTAATATCAGAAGTAACTTTTGACTTTTCAAGGATTCGAATAATGATATAATTTGTTGTTGCTAATGACGTGAAAAAGATATATGTGTTAAAAAAGAAAATGAAGATAATTGGAGATTTTTCAAGTTTGGAAAATCCTACTTAAAGCAACTTGATACGTTATGTAGCCTCAACACCCAGCCAACCAAATCGTGACAAGATTCTAAATTTTAAAAATCTAAGTACCTAAAATGTCACATGATTTGAGAAGGATTATCAAATGCAAAAAGTTTTGTAGCTAATTATTTATTTTACTGCACTAAATTACGCATGAGGTAATTGAATTGTCTTGAACTAATCTTGTCTAAGGAAATAATTGATTTCGAGTCTAATGAATTTTTTCATCGAATTCCTCTTCCATAATGGATTTCTCCGTGATGGCCACGAACAATTGAACCTCAACTGGTCACAAGATAAATGAAATAGAAGATAAATATAAATTATATATATATATATATGAAATAGAAGATAAATATAAATTATATATATTCGCTCACTCTTACACATTTGATGTATTATCTTGCAAAAAACTCGTAACATCGATTTACCAATTAAATCTAGGAAAAAGAAAATGAAGTAAGAACTTGTGGATCCTGCATAACACGTGTGAAACGTTCCCCAAGAGGGTAGAAAGTGTACAAATTTTTGGGTTGGCAATGTGAACAATCGAATTTGAAATGTCTAATAGCCACCTCGTGCTATATGTTTATACTCCCTTTATTTCTTATTTTCACACTGTCAGAATCCCATGCACAAACCAAACATTCTCTCCTTTCCTACGCCAACCGAAATGTCAAACTGTTCAACTTTCCGGCACCGGGATTTCCTCAATCTGCTCACTTTTTCTTTCTTGTTCTTGTGCATTTCTTTCTCCGAAGCCAATGAACTTGAAGCACTTTTGCAATTCAAAGCCACTCTGGAAAAATCAAACTCAAATGCTTTTGATACATGGACAGAAGAGAATGCCATATGCAACTTCACAGGCATAGTCTGTGATTCTAATCAAAACGTGAAAGAAATCAATCTGGCGGGACAGAATTTGTCCGGAACTGTCTCTTTTGATTCAATTTGCTCCCTGGAATCACTTCAAAACCTCTCTCTTGGATCAAATTTCTTGTATGGTAGAGTCAGTGATCATTTGTCTAATTGCACCAGCTTGCAGTTTTTGGACTTGGGTAAAAATTATTTTTCCGGCGAAGTTCCAGATTTTTCTTCTCTATACCAGTTGGAGTTGTTGAATTTGAATGGGAGTGGATTTTCTGGTCTATTTCCATGGAAATCACTGGAAAATCTTACGGGGTTAACTTCCTTGAGTTTAGGCGACAATATTTTTGATAAAAGTCCATTTCCATTGGAGGTACTGAAACTTCAGAAATTGCAATGGCTATACCTCACAAATTGCAGCATTGAAGGGCAAATTCCAGAAGGAATCGGAAATCTCACACTGCTTGAAAATCTCGAGCTTTCGTATAATCTTTTGTTTGGAAAAATCCCTGATGGAATCACTAAATTAACGAAGCTTTACCAGCTTGAACTTTACACCAATGGCCTGACAGGAAAAATTCCAGAGGGATTCGGAAATCTCACCAGCCTGGTTAACATCGATTTTTCGACTAATAAACTTGAAGGTGATATTTCAGAGCTCAAATTCTTAACTCAACTCAAATCCCTGCAGCTTTTCGAAAACCAATTTTCGGGTGAAATTCCTGTTGAATTCGGCGATTTCAGGTTCCTCGAAGAACTCTCACTATACAATAACAGTTTCACTGGCCCTCTTCCATTGAAGATCGGTTCGTGGGCAGAGTTCAAATATGTGGACGTTTCTGAGAATTTTTTAAGTGGCCCTATCCCACCTGATATGTGCAAGCAAGGAAAATTGCAAGAACTTCTAGTGCTCCAAAACAATTTCTCTGGTCTAATACCTGAAAACTATGCTAATTGTTTGTCCTTGACTCGTTTACGGATGAACAACAATTCACTTTCAGGTGTAGTCCCGAGAGGAATTTGGAGTTTACCGAGTTTGAGTATAATTGATCTCACTTGCAATCAATTTGAAGGTCCAGTGACATCAAATATTGGTGAAGCAAAGTCTCTTGCACAGTTATATTTAGCCAACAATAAATTCTCAGGTGAACTACCTGATACAGTATCAGAAGCTTCTTCATTGGTGGCGATTAATCTCAGTTCGAATCAGTTTCGTGGTAATCTTCCAGCAAATCTCGGGGAATTGGAGAAACTTAGCAGTCTTCACTGTGAGTATAATTTGTTTTCTGGGATTATACCAGATTCAATAGGGTCATGTGTTTCTTTAAATGAAATTAATTTAGCGAGCAATTCACTCACCGGGGAAATTCCGGCAAGCCTTGGATCACTCCCGAGTTTGAACTCCCTAAACGTATCTGATAACAAACTTTCTGGTGAAATTCCAGCCCGTCTTTCATCATTAAAGCTAAGCCTTCTTGATTTGTCAAATAATAATTTGGTTGGTCAAGTTCCCGACTCATTAGCAATAAGCGTGTTTAATAGTAGTTTTGATGGAAATCCCGGACTTTGTAGTCAGAATATAAGAAATTTCAGGCCATGTTCCCCAAATTCTGGCACGTCTACAGAGTCCAGAACGTTTATCATTTGTTTCACAGCAGGTGCAAGTATCATAATTTTGTCACTTGCATGTTTCATATACATGAAGTTTTGGTACAATAATCAGGATACTTCAATTAATCGACATGACTCTTGGGATATGAAACATTATCATGCGTTGAGCTTTTCTGAAGAGGAAATACTAAGGGAACTCAAGACAGAAAATTTGATTGGCAAAGGTGGATGCGGAAATGTGTACAAGATTGTCCTCCATAACGGGAAACAATTAGCCGTAAAACACATTTGGAAGTCTGCATATGGTGATGGGACGAACTTCAGGAGCAGCTTGGGGATGCTGGCAAAAGGCAAGGTCTATTCACCTGAGTATGAAGCAGAAGTGACCACATTAAGCTCGGTTAGACACGTGAATGTGGTGAAATTGTACTGCAGCATCATGAGTGAAGATTCGTATCTGCTCGTTTATGAATTCTTGCCTAATGGGAGCTTATGGGACAGGTTACATGGGAGTCAGAGAATCAAGATGGACTGGACAGTGCGATATCAAATTGCGCTGGGTGCAGCCAGGGGACTCGAGTATCTCCACCATGGCTATGACAGACCGGTTATACACCGTGATGTGAAGTCCAGCAACATTTTGTTGGATGAGCAAATGAAGCCGAGAATTGCTGATTTTGGGCTCGCTAGGATTTTGCAGTTTGATGCTGCAAGACACTCAACTAATGTCATAGCAGGAACACTTGGCTACATCGCTCCTGGTAAACAATTCCTTTGAATTTTATACTGATATTTCTAAACTGTTTTCTCCTAAGTTCTAAACCGTTGGAAGTGTACCATAATTAGAACATTTGTCCAAAAACTTAATTGAATCAAGTATTACTAGTAAATAAGTTAAAGCTCTTCATTTAAATGTTTAAATGTGTCTTGTATTGCAGAGTATGCATACACATCAAAGGTGAATGAAAAGGGTGACGTCTATAGCTTTGGCGTGGTTCTGATGGAGTTGGTAACCGGAAAGACCCCAATTGAGCCTGGGTTTGGGGAGAACAAAGACATTGTCCAATGGGTATGCAGCGCGATGAGGAACAAAGGTAGCCAAATTAATATAGTGGATTCGAGCATTTCTGAGGCATTGAGAGAAGACGCTCTACAGGTGTTGAGAATTGCAATTCATTGCACTGCTAGAGTTCCAGCACTAAGACCTAACATGAGAATGGTAGTGCAAATGCTAGAAGAGGTCGAACCATGTAAATTAACCGGCATAGTTGTCGACCTAGAGGCTGACAAAGGTAAGAATCAAGGACATGTTCAATAGGCAGTACATGACACGCCTAGATAGTATAATGAATAAGATTTTAGGCCCCCCCCCCCCCCCCCCCCCCCCCCCCNCCCCCCCCCCCCCCCCCCCTTCTGTACTATCCAGTAGTATAGAGTCTACAGTACCAAACGAGCTATCAATGTTTGCTGAATGTTAACACATTTAGACTCGAAATCATGAGACAAATTGTGGTTTGTTGGGTGAGTCTGTTGAAGTGAGACTCTTAAGATTTAGCTAAACAGCTTTGACATTATAGAAGGGGTAGATATACAATCTTTCATTTTGCTGAAGGACTGATGGTGGCAAAAGTGAAGACATATGTATATTTGTTTGTACCGTATGAATAAGTTCTGCCTATGGATGAGAAAAGGTTACACATTCGATTGCTGCATCTTTTCTGATAAAGAATATCATGCATTTCAGATAAGTTTAAGGATTATGCTACATTGCGAGAAGGATTTTGACATATGCAATGACAGAAGTGAAGGTGGTGGCGGATGATTGGATGGAAAAGCTCGTGTTTTAAACAATCCAATAATAAAATGCCATGTGACATTATGTCAACTTTTTTGTCAAATTATATAGCACTGTAGAATGATTGTAAATTTAATAAGGTGGAAATGAGACTTTTTTCTGTTTTACGTAATCGTCAAACAGAACTCAATCAGAAGTTCTTACTTCTTAACTCAATTTGCCAGAATAAAACCAACAATTTGCACCAGAATCTCCTTCATGATCCCCCTGGCAACTGGGTACCGGGTGATTATTTTTGGTTTACTTTTTGAGAAAAACTAGTAGAGGGGAATGGTGATAACTCCCTATAAATGGTGGCCCAAACAGCTTACTATAGTAGTTGAGATTAGGGATGGCAACAGGGTCGGGGCAACCTCCCCCGCCTCGCGACCCGTTTAAGGCGGGGTTGGTTGGGACGGGGTCCTTGCCCCGTTTTGTTTAATTTTTTTTTTTCTTTTTTCGATAATTTATTTTTATTGTCCATATTCATTAGATTTAGACAAATAATTTTAGTTGTTATTTTGTATTAGAACTAATAAAATTTCGTAAAATTTTCTATTTAAAGTATTGAATTCTAAAAACAAAATTAAAAAAATAATTTAACGGGCGGGGTGGGATGCCCGTTACCCGTCCCCGTTCTGAATACCCGATTAAGCGGATTATCCCCACCTCGTTCATGGCGGGGGTATCAGTTTGTCGAATTTTTTTGCCATCCTTAATTGAGATAGCCCAGTCATTCTTTTTATTTTTGGTTAAACAAAGCAAGTCATTGATTATGTTGGGCTCATTTCCCACCATGCAAGCTAGCTCGTGCTCATTTTGGAGCGAGCCAGCTCGCATGGAAATTTTTTGAGTTCGGCTTGCCCATAAACTTGTCTATGGGTTGGACGAGTCGAGCTGCTCATTCGATGAATATATAGACATCTTATTTTTGTATTTGAAAAGTATAATTTCAAATTCAGACAGCCAAATGGCTACCTCAATTTAATTGGGTTAAATCCACCAAATAGCTATCTAACTTTAAACTTAGTGTTACCTGACTACTCAACTTTATATTTCATGCCACCTAATTTAATTTTATTTTACTATGGCCACCCAATTTCGTCTAACATTTAACATAACATTTCACTATTACTACCAAATTTCTTTTCACCATTTTCACTAATTCTAAAAGAAGTAAAATGGTAACTTTGTATTACATATATAAAATAAATTCATATAACAAAAATAAAAGTTTTCTCTTAATTTTAAAAATGTTTATTTTAAAATAAGTTTTTATTTTATTTTAAAAACCTTTTTTAATAAGCTTTTATTTTATTTTTTTAAGGACCGTTTTTTAAATAAATTTTTATTTTATTTTATTTTTCTAAGTAACTTTTTTAAATAATTTTTTATTTTTTTTTTGAGTAAATTTTTTTAATTAATTTTTTAAAATAAGTTTTTATTTTAATGTATATAAAATTTATTTTATATATAATGCAAAGTTACCGTTTTTCCCTTTTAAAATTAATGAAAATGGTGAAAAGAAATTGGGCGGCCATTGAAAAATGTTATATAAAATAAAATTGTCATGGTAAAATAAAATCAAATTGGGTAATATTAGGTAATCAGGATGAAATAAAATTAAATTGGATGATTATGGTGACACCAAATATAAAATTAGCAGGCATTGATGGATTTTGCCCCAATTTAATTTGATGGCACTTGCCAGTGACAATTAAATCAAATAGCTGCTAACTAGCCACCTAGCACGTAAGTGGCTAGTTTTGTAGCACATATGGCGAGCCAATGAACAGCAAGCCAACTCGTGCGGCTCACGAGTAGATCAGTGCAAGCCAATGAGTAACTCGCATAGAGTCGCTTGCTCCATGACTTGCCTAGGAGGGGAGTTGAGCCATCCATGTGCAAACCGAGTTGATAAATGGCTTGCGCGGATTAACATGACATCATGGAGCGGTGGGACGCTAAGGGGCGTTGAATTTTGTTGTAAAAAAACAAAGAAACATTAGCACAAAACATGATTGCTACTTTGGTACAGCGTGAATTGTTGGGGACGGAATAAGGTTATACTGGTACGATATGAAGTATTACTCACATCAATAAGATCAACATGAAGACAAGAATATAATTTAGCAGAGAAGTTTGAAATTTTATTCAACTATAATGGAAAAAGAATTACAATAATTGTGCTCCTTACAATTATTCTAACTTCTATATTAAATCAGCTTATAAAGAAGAGCCAAACACGAAGGAACATTAGCACAAAACATGATTAATACTTTGTTACAACATTAATTGTTGGGGACGGAACGAGGTTACATGATACGATATGAAGTATTGCTCACATCAATAAGATGAACACAAAGACAGTAATTTAAATTAGCAGAGAAATTTGAAATTTTATTCGACTATAATGGAGAAAGAATTACAATAATTGTGTTCCTTACAATTATTCTAATTTCTGTATTAAATCAACTTGTAAAAAGAGCCAACTATAGATAAATGACATATCAAAACCCTGACAATATTATTAAAGATGAAAATAGTATAAAAAACGCGTGGAATAAAGGAAATAATATTTTTTCAATAAAAACGCATGGAACAAAGAAAGCAATATTTTCTAAAAAAAACCCATTCGAATTTGGGTTACAAACCCAACATCAGTAACATAAGCACGTTACTTTATGTGTCTTTTAGTATAAATAAAAGGTAATTTTTTGGCATCTTTGTTGTGTTTTCTGTGTGTTGCTGCTAAATCCTTGTTAAATATTCAATTGCTCTTGGTTGTATTAAATACTATCCATTTTCAATCATGCTCACGTGCATTACTTAATGCCTCAAATAACAATCTATCACATAAAGTAAATGCTGTAGTCGCCAACTACAAATAGCATTATTCAATTTACTTACTCATAAACTTATTGAGAAAAGTGGTTTTTCATCATAGTTTTGATTAGTACTTATTTAGTTTACAATTTCAAGAACTCCACCCAAACTATAGCACATATATAAATGTCAAATTGTGCCCCAACATTCAGACTTGGGATGACCGAACATGTAAAAATGCGAGCTGCCTTTAAATTTGTGTCGTGCCATGCTCGAGCTGTATTTAAAAAAAGTAGCTTAAAGTATAGACATCATTGAGCAATGCCAAGGCAAGAATAGCCTACCACCTCATTATTGTGCTCTATTGTTTTGTTGGAAATTTACTTAACACGCACAGCGAAAAATAAATTAATTTTTCAATTTTCACTACGAATCTGCTTCGTTTTTATATAGAAACTGTATTTAGAATAATATATTTAATAAATTCTGCAAACTCCTTAGATGATCTTAGAACACGAATAATCACGATCTGCAATTCATAGTTATCCAATTATCCAGCTTCCAATGAAAATCCAACATTAAACAAGAATGAAAGAATTATGGTTTCTATTTTCTTGTGCTAACAAGAATATGAATTATATTAGGGGAAATTAGCTCAAACCCTACTTATAAACTATACAATTCAAAATTCGGGTTTAAAAGTTTTTTATACAAAAATCAGGTGATAATTTAATTTTTTTAATATTATAAAAATAAATTAATTTACATAACCAATCAACCACATCCAACCCAAACGTTAACCCTGATCCTAAATCATCTTCCTTTCTCCCCTCTCTCTGCATTCTCTTCCCTCTTCTCATTTTCTACTGGAAGCTACCGTGGAAAGATCATTGTCGAGAGACCACCGCCAACGCACGACGTCGCCGATGAAGCTTATGGCAACCTTCGGTCCGCTGCAGATCCATCTTTTCCTCCGGCAAGCTGCTGTAGATCTGTCTTTTCTCTCTTCTTTTCTCTCATCTCTCACTTCTCTTCTCACCATTCTCTCACTTCGAAGCTGACAGTCGACGACGAAGGAGATGCGCCGGAGGGGTGTGTGTGATTGGTAGCGCTACACGTGATCTATGAAGAAGCTGTGCATCCCACTTTTTCTCTCTCTATCGCAACCGTGGCGGCATTGCAGATATGTGAAGAAGCCCTACGGCGCTACACGTGATCTGTGAAAAAGCCGTGTAGGTTGTTATTGGTAGGTTACAAAATGGTGGTGATGGTGGTGGTGGCAGCGGTGGCGGTGGCAGTGGCGGGGTGAGGGATGGTCACAGATGGTGGTCTTGGTCATGGTGCTGGTGTGGCAGGGTGAGGGTGGTCACAGTTGGTGGTGGTAATGGCGATTGCGGTGGTGCGTTTTGTTGATGGTTTTCCAAGTTGTAGAATTTTGGATATGGTTTTTCCGGTGCAGCGACGATGTTTGAATTTGGTGGCACGGGATGAGATTTCGACCAAATATGTGACTGTTTGTGACTAGTTGTGACCGATTGTGACTGTTTGTGCCCGATTGTGATTGGTTAATTGTGACTCGTTGTGATCAATTGTGACTCGAAATTCTGGAAAGTTTTTTGGAAATTGGGAGTGGATGGATGGGTGGGTGGGCAGGTAGG